AAGGAAGGAAGGAAGGAAGGAAGGAAGGAAGGAAGGAAGGAAGGAAGGAAGGAAGGAAGGAAGGAAGGAAAAGAAACAGAGAAGAGTGGAGGAAAGGAAGGAGTGATGGGGAAAGGGGTGCAGGCAGGGGGGAGCAGTGATGGTGACGGGGACCTGAGGGCCCCACCCCAGGTGAGGCAGCCCTGCTGCCTCCGCAGTCACCCGGGCAGAGCTCCCCTTCCAGCACAGTTAATCCAGACCCCAGCTAATCCTCTCACAGGTCACTGGGGGCTCATTGCATTTTGTTCACTTCTCAAATGCATCTAGAATTAATGAAAAAAACCCGACTTTAAATTCTGCCTGTGGCAAAAGCATTCGGTGTATTGCCCTGGGGCGAGCCAGAGGGGTGATAGAGGAGCAGCCTTTTCTGGCCCAAAAAAAGAGGAGAAACATTAATGGATGCAGTCAGGATGGACAGGAGGAAGACTCAGGGTGGGAGATGAGTTTGGTGTTGGGCAGCTGGCCTGACAGATCAGCTCTGCAAGGCCACTTTGGTCCTGTTTAACTTCCAAGGACAGTAAGATTGTAAATATTTACTATTAATATTAACTGTTTGTCCCTATTTTAGTCTCCCCTGTGTCTCCAAGGAGTGAGAAGCTCTTGTTCTGTGTATGAGCAATCCCTTGGTCTGCTGAGATGCCAACAAACCACCGTGACTCTCGAAAAATCAGCTTTGGGGATAAAAATGATTGTGCTTGGATTGCAGCAGGGGGAAATGTGTTGTTTGGTGTAAGGTGGTGGCACACATGGGTCTGTGTCCAGCACCTGGGAGGTTTGGGCAGGCTTTAGTGCTCCTGCTTGTGCTGCAGTGCTTCTGGATGGTTTCTTGATTGGCAGGCTGGATTTGGGGAACATTTCAGTAAAAGGCAGTGCGGGGTATCATTGCGAGCTGGGATGATGCAGCCCCAGGCAGGCTGTGCCTGGCAGTGCTCCCTGCTGCTGGCTGGCCCTGGACTCTGTGTAATGGAAAGGGTGTGTTTGTCCCAGCGTGTCCCCGGGCACTGGAGCTGATTGCAGGAATCGACCGCATCGATCGGGCCGGTGGATCCGGCACAGCGTGTCCAGCCCGGCGGCTTCGCTGCGTTCCAGGCGTCAGCTGGGGTATCACGGGGGGCTCTGCACCCGCTCTCCCACCACGCTGCTGCTCTGTGCAGGTCTCACTGCCAGCAAGGCAGTTCCATCCCCAGTGGCACGTCCCATGGCGCTGAATAACAGGGTGGCCTGTGGCTGGGGGTGGTGTGTGGAGAGCTCCTGTGGTGCCATCTCTTTAAGGTGCTTTGGATGTGCCACATGGCTTCTCCACAATCCTGTCAGCTCCCTGATGCAGCCTCACGAGGGGCTGGGGGGTCCAGCAGCCTGGCAGAGCGTCACTGGGTTTCCTCATCATGTGCTTACCTCCACCAGCAAGCCCACCAGGCTTGGGCCACCTCTCCCATGTCCATGTCACCTCTCTCCCAAGCAAAGTTGAGTGCAGGTCCTTGACCCTGCAGCTGAGCCTTCCAGAAGGGACCAAAACAGCTCCCCATTCCCCAGTGGCAGTTGTTCCTTCATGAGACTTGGCCAGCTAAACCCATCTGTGACCGTGGATGGCTCCAGGTCCCAATGGATACGTTGGGAAAGTTGCTCCTCAGGACATCTGCCCTGAGCAAGTACCTTCCCGGGGCCTTCTCCAACCAGATGCACATTGGCTGTGTCCTCTTCCATCCCCGGGCACGAGGACAGAGGTTAAATCCACATCTCCCTGTGCTTTCCCTCGAGCCCAGAAGAGCTGGTGCTCTGAGGTCGGCGCTGGGCTGGGCATCGATCCATCTGGCACGGGCAATGTGAACTGATGGAGCCGCTTCCAGGAGTACCTTTATTGGTATCTGTGTCCCAAGGAGAACAGCTCGGCCTCTCTGCTTTCCTCCCTGGTGGCGGAGCTCGTGGGAAACGTGAAGTGGAGAAACTCCAGGATTTTCATCTGCTGGAGTTGTTGAGTGTCCCACAAATGCAATAAGATTTGTTCACTCACTTTGTATCACGAAAGAACAAACTCTAACACCTTCTCCCTTTCCTCTGTATGTGTTTTTGGGAGCAGCCCAGCCTAGGAAAGGAGAATTAGAGCAGTGTAGGAGGTTGCCACTCAACATGCAGCCCATTAGGACCACTGGCCAAGCAGCCCCTCAGGTCCCCGTGCCATGACCGGTAACGGCCCTGTCTTTGCTTTCTCATTGCAGAACCTCTCACGGGATCCTCGTGGTGACGTGGCAGCCAAGACGTGGAAGTTTGGGACTTCTCTTCCACCGCAGCAGAATTTGGGGGGTGGGCAGGGGTGGGTCAGGGGGACACTGGGAGTCGCAAGACCCTTCACCTTCACTGTGGGCTTGGCTCAGGGATGACTACGGGCAGAGTCAACCCTTACAGCATCGTGTCCTCTGAGGAAGACGGGCTGAGGTTGACCACCATGCCAGGTATCAACGGCTTTGGCAATGGGAAAATCCACACCAGGAGGAAATGCAGGAACAGGTTTGTAAAGAAGAACGGTCAGTGCAACGTGGAGTTCACCAACATGGATGACAAGCCACAGAGGTACATTGCAGACATGTTCACCACGTGCGTTGACATTCGCTGGAGGTATATGCTCTTGCTCTTTTCCCTGGCATTTCTGGTGTCCTGGTTATTGTTTGGGCTGATTTTCTGGCTAATTGCACTCATTCACGGAGACCTAGAAAACCCAGGTGGAGACGATACTTTCAAGCCTTGCGTTCTGCAGGTCAATGGCTTTGTGGCTGCTTTTCTGTTCTCCATCGAGACCCAAACGACGATCGGGTACGGCTTCCGCTGCGTGACCGAGGAGTGTCCGCTCGCTGTCTTCATGGTGGTGGTTCAGTCCATCGTGGGCTGTATAATCGACTCTTTCATGATTGGTGCAATAATGGCAAAAATGGCCAGGCCCAAAAAACGGGCCCAGACATTACTTTTCAGCCATAACGCAGTAGTGGCGATGAGAGATGGAAAACTCTGCCTGATGTGGAGAGTTGGGAACCTACGGAAAAGCCACATAGTAGAAGCCCACGTACGAGCTCAGCTAATTAAGCCCAGGATCACAGAGGAAGGGGAGTACATCCCGCTCGACCAAATAGACATTGACGTGGGGTTTGATAAAGGCTTGGACCGTATTTTCTTGGTGTCTCCCATCACCATTCTCCATGAGATCAACGAAGACAGCCCCTTGTTTGGGATCAGCCGCCAGGACTTGGAGACAGATGACTTTGAGATCGTCGTCATCCTGGAGGGCATGGTAGAGGCCACAGCCATGACGACGCAAGCTCGGAGCTCCTACCTGGCCAGTGAGATACTGTGGGGCCACCGCTTCGAGCCCGTCTTGTTCGAGGAGAAAAACCAGTACAAAGTAGACTATTCCCACTTCCACAAAACCTACGAGGTCCCGTCCACCCCCCGCTGCAGCGCCAAGGACTTGGTGGAGAACAAATTCCTGCTGCCCAGCACCAACTCCTTCTGCTACGAGAATGAGCTGGCCTTCATGAGCCGCGACGAGGAAGAGGAAGACGATGACAGCCGGGGTCTGGAGGACCTCAGCCCGGACAACAGGCACGAGTTTGACAGGCTTCAAGCCACAATAGCGTTGGATCAGCGGTCGTACAGGAGGGAGTCAGAAATATGACACTTGGTCCTTCCGTTGACTTTTCCAAGGGTATTTTTTTTCCTCCTCTAATCTCTTCCCCTACAACCCGCTCAAATTATGCAGAACAATGCAAGTGCCATAGGAATGCTTGAGAAATTAGTATCGTTCATAGTTTTCAGTTTCATCGCAATAACCACTGAGCGGTCTGCAGGAGGGGACGGTGGCAGGCCACGGCGCGTCCCCCGCGCCCGGCGCCCGCGGCAGGGCCCACGGCTCTGGGGGATGGATGGACAGATGGATGGAGGGATGGGTGGATGGATGGATGGATGGATGGATGGATGGATGGACGGAAGGAAGGAAGGATGAGGAGAGGAGGGTCCGTGGGGCATGGGCAGGTGCTCGCCCCACACGGCCCCGTGGGGCTTTGCTCTCCCTGCGGGGAAAACGCCAGCGTTTTCCTGGAGCTGAGCACTGCGAGATCCAAAAAAGAGGAAATATCAGGAAACAAATCTCACTCTCTCTCTTTTTTTTTTTTTCCTTTTATTTTTTAACTGAGCAGCAACAACAAAACCATTGCTCCTTTGGCAGGCGGTCTGGTTCAGTTGCACAAGAACAACACTTGAAATAACATGCAACATTAATGTACTTCTTTTTAATTTGGGAAAAAATGGGGGAGGGAGGTGAGAGGGTTTTTAATATTTTCACCGCACCGTTTGGGAGACTGTTTACCAAAATAATAATAATATTAATTATTATTATAAAAATAATAATAATAATAATAATATTAAATCTGAAAGAAGTCATTCAGTATTTTTTGAAAATGAACAAGGGAATGAAGAAGCCGCCAGGGTCTTTTGAGGGGGTGACTTGTTGGGTAAATGCAAGAGCTAAAAGTTAAGATTGCGTCCAATTTTGGGGTGTTTTTTTACCACTGGCATGGCTTCATAGGCAGAAAACACATGTAAGTGACTATAGGTCTGTGGCAGTGAAAGAAAGTAGTGGAATTATTGACAAAGGAGGTAATAAGGATTAGCAGGGCTGTGAGAGAAAAAAGCATTGTAAACATGGTAATTAGCCAGTTTCTGGAAATGTTGGATTTTGGGGTGGAAATGGGGTCTGGAGCATTAGCTGCTGAAGTGTTGGGTCTTCCCCAGCATCTCTGATGGGGAATTCACAAGGTTCACCATAAGAGTGAAAAGCACAAAAATGAGAGTGGAGAGCTCTCAAAATTGGGTATTTCCCAACTTTTCTGACCAATTTGGTATTTTTCTTCCTTGAAGAACATTTTCAAATGTAGAAATCAATGGGAAAGTCATCTCGTTGGGCTGCACTTCGAGTCCTGGAGCTGTGTCCGTGCCAGGCTGGGCTTTATGAATTCCCAACCCACCAGAGAGTCCTGCTTCAGAGGCAGATGTTTTCCCCAAAAGAACAGATGCCAGTTGAGAAAATCACCCCATCTTGCGCTTCAGCCCATCCCTGTGTCCCGGCCTCAAGGTGGATTGTGCCTTAGAGATGCAGACTCATCCCGTGTCCCAGCCCTTCTCCACAGCCCCCATCCTGCATCCCCTCCTCTGGGTGATGCCCCTTTTTCTCTGCAGCACCCACTCCCCTCATCCACCGCCTTTCAGGCTGGCCTTGGTGACAACCTGCTTTAGCTTTAGCTCTGGCACGAGGCAAAGCACCCCATGCACGGGAAGCCTCCGCTCCTGCCCTGCTCCCCAGAGAGGGAAGGAGTCAGAGAGGTGCAGGTTTGTGGGTCCCTTCATCTGGTTGTGCTGCTCGTTGGTGCTCTGGGAGCCAAAATCTGGCTCCCTGATCCCTGTGGCCACGGGAAGGGCTTTGTACCCATGGGCATCCCTCATCTGACCGTGGGCACAGAGCCCTTGGGGAGAGGGCTCAACAGCAGGGTCTTCCATGGCATTTTGGCTGTGATGGGCTCCTGGTGCTTTTCCCCCCACAGCCCACACCAGGGAAGCTGTGTCCTGGGGTCAGGACTTGCTGTGGTGTGTCCAAACATGGGTGGCAGAAGCAGGATTTGTCCTGTGTCCCCATCCCCATCTTCTTCTTGCCAAGGGCTCGGGGGAACTGCTGCCCTGAGTGTCCCACTGCCCCGTGCCACCGAGCACCGTGCTGGGGACATCACCCCTGCAGAGTTTCTTCCCACCAGGGTCTGTCACCATCACCCCACACTGCCCACCAAGAGGCTGCTCTGTTTTTGGCTTCCACTAAAAACCTCTGGGAGAAAACCTTCTCCAGGGGCAGCACTGGGAGGCAGATTTTTCAGCACTGAGTGCCCCAAATGCGTTTTCCCCGAATGTGGGGACACGTAGGGATGTGCCATTGAGCTCCAGCCACGATATTTCTCTTTCTAAGGCAGCGAAGGCGGATGCCATCCCATCACCAATCCCTTTGCTCCTGGGGGGATGCTTTTGCCCCCTGCTTTTTGCACCACAGCATCTGGGGGGTGGGAAGGATGGAGGGGGGGGCAGAGAGATTTTGTGTGAGCACTACTTATTTATTTTTTTAAAACAAATGCTTTTAAGTGGTTTTAGGTTCTTTTGAATAAATAATAATTATTAAAAAAAAAATAAAAGGTGCACATCTTGCTGCTGTAGAGTTCTCAGAGGGTTAAACTTCTTTATAAATATATATATATATATCACAGTAAATATTTGTATAAAAACGAAAGAGAAATAGAGATGTCTTTAAGTAAATTATTGCTTTTAAAGAAACTTCTATGATTGTACAGTGTTACCTGGGAGAATAGAATAATATATACAGATGTATTTTTAAACTGCTGTGTAGGAGGATGTGAACTGGGACAGGGAGCGCCTGTGGCTGGCACAGTGAGGGGATTTAGGACCTTCCCTGGCCCCTTTTCACTCACCCCCTGCCCCAAACCCTGCTAGTGAGGGTCTAGCTCTGGTGAGACGTCCTGTATCTACTGTATAGTCCTTGTCCTGACCATGGACCACACCGGTACATAGTGTATAAATATTATTTTTGCCTACCTGTGAGAGCTCAGAGCTACTGGTCTTTTTTTCCTACCACCAGGGAGCATCGGGAAGGCTGCCCAGCCATAGCTTAAATCCCATTAATTGTCTAAAAAAGGGGTAAAAAAGGGGAAAAAAATTTAAAAAGGTGGAAAAAGCCCAAGCTCAGCATTTGGGTTTCCTTAAGGGGCTGGGAAGACACAAGGATGCTCTGTGGGTGTGGGGTTTTGGGGAGTGGAATCCCTGTGGGAAAGGGCTTGCAGACGAGCAAGGTGAAATGTCCCCCTCAAAAAAAAAACCCCAGCCGCCGGCCATTTCCTCGAGCAAGCCAGCTCCATCCCTGGAGTTCACTTGATCCTTGGAGGACGGCAGGAGGCCGAGAAAGGAGAGATAATCCTCTTGGCCAGCATCCCGTAGGGATTGCCCCGGGCCGGGGCTCCGGCAGCAGCAGCTCCCCGAGCTGGGGTCATCCCCGCGCCCCAAAGCCACCCCTGGGAAGAGCATCCTGTGCCCTGGGGGCTCCTCACTCGGCCGGGGGCCATCGGGATGAGCCTTAGCTTCTCATCACCCAATTTAGTGCACTTTGTCTTTTAGGGCTGGGACAATCACTTAGCGCTCAACCTTTCTCGATTCGGTGCCTGCTTGACCTTCAAACCTTTTGTAGGAGATGACTTCAGAGCCACCTTTTCTATCTTTAATAAGGCAGAACAAATACGTTTATTTTTAAACCCTCCTGCTCTTTCCTCTCGTGCTGACAACCAAAAGAGTCCCCTGAGTGTGCTGTCCCCTCCTCTCCCATTTCTTGCACGCAGAAAGGAGCGTGTGGCAGCCGTGTCCGGCCCCCTCCTGCTCTCCCACCCCCCAATTCAGGAACGCTGCCACGGGGGGGTTGGCACAGGGCAGGGTCCGGATGGGTCACGAGCAGGGACAGGACGTGGGGCAGTGCCCGACCCGATGCCATCCATTCCCCTCGCCCACCAGCTGTGCACATCTGTCCTGCTGCCCGCTCCCAGGGCGCCGTCTCCCCTCCATCTCCCCCCCAAACACACCCCAGTGCTCCCCCAGGCTCAGCCCCGCGTGGGTTTGGGGTCGGAGACCCGACACCAGTTCACAGGGCAGGCTGGCAACTGGGAGCACTGGTTTCCCAGGGGTAACACGCTGAGTCTGTTCGCTGGGGCAGTGGTGGTAGAGAAGCTGAGGGATGCAATGAATTATCTGTACCTTTTCCACCTCCGGTGTTTCTCTGTCTCATTGCACATATATTTGAGATATATGTGACAATGTATATATATATTTGTAAAATGTATTTCAGATGACAAAACTGGCCAATTTTATGTTATTTTAAATATATTATATATATTATATATAAGAGTCTCCAAAAGATATAAATAGACTAGAGAAAATAATATAAATATGTAATAAATGTATTTTGATCTATTTAAAATATCTCGCGTCATGCTGTATATTTTAAAGATCATAGTGAAGTGTCTGCCTGTAGCCAACTTCCAACGTGTTTCCAAGTCTGTCAGTTGTCACACACACAGGATATGTGGAGCAAACTTTGAGCAAGACTGGGGCCAGCACGACAAACAGAGATTATTTTTAAGAGCCTTTTAGCAAATATCCATCCTGCTGCCTTTAAGCAGGAGCAAAAAAACCACACACCTGAATTTTTCTTGGGAGGATAATTTTCCTCCCTGCTGCAGGAATGCTCAGAATGATGGGGGGGCTCTGCAGAGGCCCCCCAAACACAGCCCCTCCCTGGGTACCGCTGGCTGCAGTGCCCTGCCCTGATGGGCTCTGCCCACAAGAGCGGCTCAGCCATGCAGGGAGCCCGGAGATGGGAAAATGTGTCTGGAGCCCAAGCAGAACAAAACCAGTCATCCAAGACTGACCCAACAAATCTTTCCAGAGCGCTCTTGGTCCCCCTGGGCCCTGTGAGGAGCTTTTTCCTGCGGGCATTGCCTCCTGTGTGACCTCAGGGGACATCACACCACATCCAGGTGACAGTTTAAATGTCTTTAATGGTGCGTCACGGCTGAAGGGAAGCGGAGACAGTGTGTGAGATGCTATTTAAGGAGAGGTTAATGGCCTGGTGGACACAGAGCCCCTGGATTTGCCATCCTGGATTTTCCTCCTGGCTTTCACACCTGGCTGCCACAGGGAACGGGGCTCATGTACTGAGATAACCTGGGGAAATTATCCATCATCGTTCCTCAGGCTGGGAATAGGGCTCAATCCACTTCAGGTGACTGGTGGCCGATAATTTCCACCCACCACTAACGATCTGTTGGGTCCCATCAGCTCCATCCTTTTTGCCATAAGGAAGTTTTTTACTCATTAAAAAAATACCCCAGCCAGCCACTCACTCTAATAACCACAGAGAGGGCTGGGGCTAAGCAAGATTTAAGAGCAAAGCCCGTTTAATTTAGCAAAGGAGGAGACTGAGGTGACTTGATTACAGCATTTGTCATGGGGAGGATACACTGGTACAAAGAGGTAACTTAATCTAGCAGGGAGAGGCATAATAACCACCTCTTCCTGGAAGCTGAAGCCAGACAAATCTATCTTGGAAATAAGGAGCGATCTTTTAATAATGATTAGCTATTAGAACAAGCCACCAATCTCTGTCTCTTAATGCCTTTAAATCTGGACCAGATGCTTTTCTGGAAGCTTTTCTCTTGCCGCGGAGAGGAGCGGGGGTTCTTGGGGACGGTAATGGCCTGCTACAGGCAGGCAGGAGAGGAGATGGGGGAAAAAGCTCTACTCCAAAACACGGGCTGGATCTCGGGAAGGAAAATGCCAGGGTGGAGGCGGGGGATGCTCTGGCAGGGCCCTGCCAGCATCTCTGCTGGGGACACGCACGGGCCCGTGCAGCAGCTTCCCACGGCTCCCGTGCCTCCGCTCTCAGGGTTTGCTTTGCCATGCGGCAGTGACTCCTCACACAGCCGTTTGCACTACAAACCCCAGCGCTTCATTTGTGGAAGCATTTAATGATTCAGGAGCCGGCAGCTCCCTGGGGATGGTTCCCACTGCCTCCAGAATTCCTCCCTCGGTGGCTGCTTGTACAGAAATCCCCAGGGAGCTGAGCTGATGCTGGCACCACGGGAAATGTGCTGTTTGGTCTTTGCTTTGTTTCCAGTCCAACCATCCTCATCCTCGAGAGCTGAACTGAGGGGTGGGAGCAGCAGGGATGGGAAGGCAGTGAGTGGCTCTGAGGGGAATGACCCTGCTTACACCTCACAGACCTGGCTGGAAAGTTTTCAGCAGGGATGGGCACCAGTGTAATGAGTGTGGGGCTTTTTCTTGGCTGGCAACCTCCACTTTTAATATTCAAGATGTCTTTAAGGGCTAAAGCCCTCTCTGAACTCAGCATTGCACCAGCCCTCACTGACTGCCCTCCTGCCCCTTTCCCTTCGGATTCAGGAGACCAAAGCATCTCTCTGTGCCTTTGCCAGAGGTTTTTTGCCTCCCCAAAAGCAGGGTGTCCTTTCATAAGCTTGGATGGGTTTGGCTCAAACCCACTGAAATTTGGCTGAGCCAATCTGTCATCAAGGGGCAGAGAGTGGGCAGAGGGGTTGGGAACTCTGTATTCCCACCAGGACCTCGTCTCAGAGGGATGAAGGCAAGGAACTTTGCCCTGGCCCCACTGGAAATGCTGCTTCTCCATCCAGCTTGGATTCATCCTCTCTCCAGGCTGCTCCAAGAGCCTCAAACCCTACAGATCCCTCTGAATTTGGTCCCACCCAAGTTGCTCCAGTGCCATTCCAGGTGTCTGGGAGGAGCTCGGGTAGCCAGGGATGCTCTGGGTACTGCAGGGCCATACCCAGGGATGCTGGGTTGTCTCTGGGGGTAACCATAGTAACGGAGCAGCATCTCTGCTCTCCTGCTGGCAATTTGCTTTTTCATCCTACATTAAGGTGGACCCTCTCCAACTTCTTTCTCCCCCTCCATAAAGGCAATACCAAGAGCTCTCCCAGAGGGGCCAGCTCTTCTATTCCATCCCACACCAGGTTTCATCCCACAGAAAACCGGGATCCTGCCAGGGAACCAGCCTCCAGCATCCTGCAGGGAGTCCAGGAAGGCTGAGGCTGGAGTTTCTCCTTAACACAGATTTATAATTGTGAGTGGGACAAAATTAGGGGTTTCCTTACACTTGTTGTTAACAGGTCACCGTCAAGGTTAAAAACCTCAAATGCTTTAATTTTTTTTTAATTATAAAATGCCTCTACTAGCAATAACACTCCGGCTTATTAATATGGATTGGGGTTTTTTTCAGTGCAGAATGTAATTATCACCCGTTAAGTACTTTGTTCACCTTTCACATTTCTCCTCGCTCGGGAAAGGCAAACACATGAGTCAGCGTCCCTTTTTCTGTCACTTTTAGGCAGATTTTTTTTGTGACAAGCCATTGTGAATCAGCACAACACTGCAAAGTTCAGGTCACAAACGCTCCTGAGAGGCTGCTCACAGGGAAAAACTGTGATTTTTTTAAGAAGGAGGTGAAGGACGTCTCCTGTCTTGACCCTGGGCTTTGGGGAGAAACCCCAAATGAATAAATTTGGAATCAAACTGGGCTCGGTGGTGCTGATTTAAGGGGAGAAGTGAGAAGGGTTTCCCGTGGGATATCAGGATGGAGAAGATGTGTGCAAGCTGACAGATCAGCAACCCTTCCCCAGCGAGTCGACACTCCCTCTCCTCTTCCCCTGCAGCTGGCACATTTATTTTGGAAATACTTCATTAGTATGTAATTAAACCTTCCCCTCTTTGCCTGACGACCCCGAGCATCACTGCCACCCCCCGGGCTGGGGCGTTCCTCGCTGTCCCCTGTCCCAAGGTGGGGGTGCGGGCACTCCGGGGTGGCACTGGCGGGGGGGATGGCCCCAAAAGCCGGTTTTCCGTGGGTGGGCATCCCCTGCTCGGGGGCTTGCTGTCCGTTTGGGTTCGTGGCTGACTCAGCCCCAGATGGTTCTGCGAGCGCTTATGTAACGCGTGTTTTGGCGGGGGCCGGGACGCGGAGCGCGGCGAGGAGGTGGGCGCGGGGGCGAGGGAGGGAACAGAGCTAAAGATAATCCTGGCAGCTCTGACAGAGCTTTGCCAGGCCCCGAGGGAGCCGGCAGGGGAAAGGCTGCTGGGGATCGGGCAGCGGGCTCGCAGCCACCGCTCCGTCCCGTCCCCATCCCCGCTGTCACCTCCCTGGGAGCTGCAGCTTCTCCCTTTCCAGGTTCACCTGCGCTCACAAACAGACCTAAGATCACCCTCGTTGTTTCACAACAGGTTTTTTTTTTCCCCCCCCTGCTGTTTCATGATTCGGGTACAGCGGGGAAGTGTTTTGGTTGCAGGACTGAACCAAGCTGTGCAAAGATTTCTCAGACCTTTCATCCCCATCCCTCCTTCCCTCCCTCTCCTGTGCTTCACTGGTGACTGCTGATCAGCACTGGAGCTCACAGTGGGAGCAGAAAACTGATGATATTTCTCTTGAAGGGATGTTTTGGGTGACCTTTGACCTCTGTAGAAGTCTTCTTCTTTTTCTCAGTTTACAATTTCAATGTACACACAAAGATTGTTGTTTTACAGGAGTTTTATTTTAATGCTCTGGAGATTTGCTAAATAAAAACCATTCTAATACACAGGATGTTCTGCATGTGATGGCTCTTCTCAGGTGGGGCAGCTGCGGGGTTTGGGGCAGGTAATTCATTAGCTGAGACATTGCTGCATGTCCCTCAGCAAAGGGTTAACCAGGAGCCCCCAGACATGGCTTTTATTTGTCTGGAACTGCCCTCAGAGGAGCCTTCCCCAGCCCCAACAGAGCTGAACAGGGATTTCATTCCCAAATCCCTTCCTTCCCAAACCCCTGGCTACAGGGCAGCGCCAGAGGCTGCCTGGGGGTCCTGGAGCAAGGCAGATCCCTTAGCCCTGGAGGGATTCCTGGGAGGCTGAGGGGTCCCTGCTGCAGGAGGGATGGAGAAGGCCCCTGGCCATGTCCTGCTGAGCAGGATGTCACCTCTGAGCGCTCCACACGACAGCGGGTGCGGGGGTGACAGCAGGAACAGGCTCCATCGGGACAAGGAGCACAGAGGGCTGGCACCAGCCCTCAGACAGTGGCAGGAAGTCCACGGCTCCTGATAATTAGGAGAAAAACTAAATAAATCCCTCTGCAAAAGACAATGTTGAGGGGAGAAGCTCAGGCCTGGGCTCCTGCCAGCGGTGGATTTGCAGAGCCACCCACGCGGGACGGGAGCAGAGAAGGGGATTGTCCCCCCAAGGTCAGGGGGATTGTCCCCCCAAGGTCAGGGGGATTGTCCCCCCAAGGTCAGGGGGATTGTCCCCCCAAGGTCAGGGGGACAAGGCTGTGGTGGCAGTGGTGACACCCAGCATGAGGAGGGCTGGTGGTGGCCTTGGTGGTGGTGTTGGCAGGGTTGGTGGCTGCCAGCCCTGGTTGGGGGGATCTGGGTGCCCCCTCACATGCAGGTGCCTGAAGGGCCCCTCCCAGGACAGGTCTCCATCCCACAGCCCCCAGTGCAGAGAGGACTGGATTTATGGGAGCAGGAATCTGGGGATTACGCTGCCAGAGTCTGACCAGCCAAAAATTGTTAAAAATCAGAATATCCGTAGCTCAAATCCAGCTTAAAAGTCAAACCAATCATCCAAACCATCTGCCTCACCATTGAAGATAATACTACTTTTATTGTTTCCATAAGCTGCTAAGCAGCTTTTCAGCAAGAAAAACCCTCCCTGCTGGGACATTTGTGGCCGTGGGACAGCACGGTGGCCTGCCCAGCCAGGTCCTGCTAGGATGGGGAAGCAGGGGAGGATGTGGGGACCTGGGGGATGCAGGGCAGGGACTGGGGGTTAAATTCTCTGTGCCATGGTGCAGATAACCACTGGCAGCCACCTGCTGCCATCTCTGGAAATCCACCAGTGAATGGAGGAGGGATGGCACTGCCAGCTCTCCTCCAAGACATCCCAAAATTTTCTGGAGGTTCTGGCAGCTGAGGGCAATGTGTGACAGCCTTTAATGGGAGCTGCCCGTGCTGCTGCCCACCTCTGTGACAGAGGTATTGTTGGCCCAGAGCAGCCAGCCCCAGCCACGAGCTTTCCATCTGCAAGTCCTCCCTGGCTGTGGGCCAGAGAAGGGAGCTGGGCACGATCCTCCCTGTTTCTCCAGGGAGATTTGGGTTGGAAGGGACCTTAAAGATCATCTCATCCCAGCCCCCTGCCATGGGCAGGGACACCTCCTGCTATTCCAGGTTGCTCCAAGCCTGTCCAACGTGGCCTTGAACACTTCCAGGGATGGGGCAGCCACGGCTTCTTTAAGCAACCTGTGCCAGGGCCTCACAGTCAAGAATTTCTTCCCAGTATCCCAACTAACCTTCCCATTGTTAGTTTGAAGCCATTCCCCCTTGTCCTGTCATTCCAGGCCCATGTCCAAAGTCCCTCTCTTGCAGATCACCACACTGAAGGCTTCCAGCCACTCCCCAAAGTCTGCTTGCCCATTTCTGGAAGATGTCCATGCCCAGCAGAGAGCTCAGAGTGTCCTGCCTCTCCCAGACCCTCCCTGTTTCATCCCCTTGAAATGGCTGCCATGCAGTTCACCCTCTCCCAAGACCTCACTCTAGCAAACTCTAAGGCAAAACTGATGTCTCTATTCCCACCTACAGCTTCTCCAGGTAACAGAGGCAGCACCTATCCTGTCCTTATCTGACATCCTGACAGATAAACCCCCTTCACCCATGGGTTTCCAAACAGGGAGTGTAGAAGTGTGAAAAGGCCAGGTTGGACAGGGCTTGGAGCAGCCTGGTCTGGAGGAAGGTGTCCCTGTCCATGGCAGGGGATTGGAACATTCACTGGTGTCTGTGAGTCTGTACTGATGCAGTGAGAGCACAAGAACTCCTTAATGAAATCACCCTGGATTCGCTGACATTTTACATTTGTGCTGGTGACTGGGTGCTCCTCCTGCCTTCACTCAGGGTGAGTTTGCTTGGAGAGATTATTATCCCATGGGAAGACACCTAAAATAAAACTTATTTCCTCATGTGGGAATAAGGAAGGAAAAAGAGCTGATAATTCAGCAACCAACAAGCCAACTGCACTTCTGTAGATCATCCAGCTGCCTGGAAAGTCCCTGGAAAGGGATTTTGCAGCTGGCACAGAGCATTTCACTCCTGCTCAACAACAGCTCAGGGCCAGGACACCCTGGGCTGCCCCACGTCTCTGGCAAGGTGGGCTCTGATTTTGTTCATCCTCTGGAGGATGTTTGGCTCCTCTGCAGCATCTGACCGTGGCAGGGAATGTACCAGGCTCCAGGGATGGCTCCATCCTTCTCCACCTCCCAACCTCTGCCCCGGGCTCGCCTGTGGGACCTGACTTGCAGATGCCAAAGCCACATCACTGATTTTTAATTAGGGAGAGCTGCAATTAGTGAAACACAGCAGGGTGAGAGAGGACTGGCCTGTCAGTCTTGGCTGTGAGATCCTTGACACTTTCCCTAATCAGCCCAGAAAGACACGTTGCCTTGACCGTGACAGTCCAGAGAACAGCGGATTCATCAGACCTCGCTACAAATCCCAGCTGGATTTAGCTCCTGTTGGCTAAACGTCTGCAGAATATCACCCAGCAGAGCAATCTGGAAGTCCTCCCCCTCAGGAAAACGGATAGGTGATATCCACAGCTTTACTCCTCTTGTGTGTGTGTGTCCTTTGTCCACACAGCAAGGTAAGGGTTGTGCTGAGAGTGCAGAAGAGGCTTTGTGCCTGCATCCCTTCCACCGCGTGTTTCCAGCCCTGTGGATGGACACAGGCTCTTTGATCTCAACATCAGAGATATCCAGACACAGAGATCCAGGGAGACACAGCTGGGAGGCACCCACAGGGTCAGACCCTTGGAAGCTGAGTTAGGCTCAATGCATCCGTTGCCAGATTTCCATATGCTCCCACATCATCCATCCTCATCCTCCTGCTGCAAGAGGGATTTGCTGCTCCGAGCTGCAGAGTGCTGTGCCGGGGCTGCAGATCCCACCGGTGCCATTTCCGAGATGCTGGCAAACATCCCCTCGAGAGGAAAGAAGCTCAGCCAAGCCTGAAATGACCTGCTGGGGCAGGGTAGGCTCTTTCCATTCTTGTATCATGTGCTGGAATTTATATAAAAGGGGATTCTTTTCAGGATGGCCTGACCCATGGAGGGGGATGTTCACAGTGTGTGGCTCCCAGACCACAGCTGGAACACCCCTGGGGTCAGGGAGAGCCCCAGCCTCTGCCACAGAGCACCTGGCTCCCGTTAAGGTCAGGCTGGGCTTGTGTGTTGAGTCACAGCACAGGGTTCTGGGCTGTGTGATGCTGCTCAGGCCTCTGAACAGTGATCACACGTGTGATGCCACACATACCTGCACCCCCAGCTGGGGCACAGCACCCTGGTGCCTCTTCCTCATGCCATACCTGAGAAATTAATGTCCTGTTCCTGTGTTCCCACAGTGCCACTCTCAGAGTGGCATCCCCATCTCTCTGCACCCTGTCCCCAGACCCCAGAGCAGCTCTGCTCCCTCTCCAGCACAGAGCCCCTCAGCTTCCTCCAGCCACAGCTGCTCCCATACACTTCCCAGACTTTGATTAACTCCAGGCTCCTCTCTTTTCTCAGCCCCTCGGGAAATAAAACTCTCCAGTGCTGCAGATTGTTTTCAGGTGATGGAGAAAGCAGGGGCTGAACCCTCTGGCAGTGCCACACTCACCTCTGCTGAGGCTGGGGATGGATCCAGGATGGATTCTTGTTGGAAAGGGGTCCTTGCCAAATTAGTCAACTCAAAGGTTACTGAAGCCACATCTCCGAGGCTGACTGTTTTTCTGGGACATCAGGAATGAACTGGGGTCTCTGGTACTGCTCAAACAAAACCCAGTATGAAAACCATATGGAAAAAGAGGTAAGCTCAGAGGTGGAAACATTGCAGTGGTTCTTGGGAAGCTGGGCTTCCCTGGCTCCAGCACGGTCCTTTCTTGGTCATCTCTTGTGTGCCCATGACTCAAT